TATCTGTGGTACAGGAAAAAGCACATACATGTTTTATATTCACCATTCTAATCTCCCTGGCAGATTGGCAATGTCCATAAATGAAGGATTTCTAGAGCCCCCAAACACCTTTGGCAGACTCCAGCCTTTACTTTCTGCACTGAAACAAGCAGAGAAAACATATCATGTCTCCTTTCCACCACCACATCACTCTAAGGACATCTACTTGCATCTGACTCCTAGATCTAGCAGTATCTGCACTACAGGAGAAATCTGAAAAGACGAGACTACCTAAAACCACTCAAGGACAAAAGATCCCAAGAGACTTTGACCTCTTAGCAGAAAGGCCTGCCCCTCAGTGTCTCCCAACTGTGAATAAGCAGCTATTAAGCCTTAGTCTTTAAACATGACTACAGGACCTGGGACAGAGTATCATCATTCACTGACAAGGTCCCACAGGAAGTGAGGGCTGTTTTGAGATCCATCATTTCAGAGGGAGTTTGGAAGTTAGCCAGAACTTTCCACCAAGTAGTCCCGGGTGACCCTGATACAGCAGCCTGTTCAGTGGTCCTAGCCTTTGCCAAGAAAAGGGCAGTCCTGCGGATTCCTAAAGAGGTCCAAACAGATATTGAAGACCTTTCCTTCAAAGGGCCAGACCTGTTTAGTTGCTTCACAAATGAGTTGTTACATACCCTAAGGGACTCTAGGGCTACACTGAGATTCTTGGGTATCTGTACACCTGCAACTAGGAGGAAACCCGAGGGCTGGTTCAGACAGAGAACTTCCTCCTGTCGGCAACAGAGGTCTGCTGACTACACTTCTATAGGAAGTCTTGCTTCTCCCACATGAGCCCTGTCTTCTTCCTCTACTACCTTCACTGCATTGTCTTCCATATGGCAGGTTGAAGTTGAGCTTTCTGTCTGCTCCATTTTTGATTGCTGCCTTTTGCATTTCTCTTAAGCCTGGGCTGGAATTACTTCAGTTCAATGGGTATAGGAGATTATTACAGAAAGCCACATCATACAGTTCTAGTCCTTGCCCCATACCCAATCCCTGATCCCTCTTCAGAAATGCATCTTCCAAGAGACAGCTGAAGGAAGAAGTGGGTTCCTTACTACAACCTAGAAGCAACAGAAGAAGTACCCAGATGTTCAGAGGGTAGAGAAGGAAGGATTTCTATTCCCACTACTACTTATTCCCAGAAGAAAACTGGAACTGCAACCTATCCAGTACCTGACGTGACTACACAAATTCACATGCTGACTTAAATTAAGAATGGTGACACCAGCCTTCATCATATCCTCTCTAGAAGCTCAGATTGGTTTGTGCCTGTCAACTTCAGGACACTTATTGTCATGTAGTGATTCATCCAGGCTACAGAAAATTTACTCCGCTGTATGCAATTTACTGACTCCATCAATCTGAGAGTGAATGATAAATAATAATCTCATTCCAACAAAATCCATAGAATTTATTGGGGATCTTCTAGATTCTAAGTCAACAAAGGCAAAATCCCTCTAGACTGATTTCAGACAATCACACCCCTCATCTCCAGCTTCAGGTATAATCTTGAAACAGCAGCAAGAAACTCTGAAATTATTATATCACATGGCATCATGCACTTATGAGATGCCTCTGGATGGCTGAGGTATGTTTACCAACCACCAAACTTAATTTATAAGAGTTGGAACCATACAAGTTCCCCAGATAGTTGCAAAGGAGTACCATTCTGCACCATAATCTCCCATGGTGATGCTGATTACAGATGCCTCCATGGCTGGTTGGGAAGGGACTATCAAAACCACCTACAAATTCAAAGCAGTATGGTCATGGAGAGAGTCCTTGCTCCATTCCAATGTACTTGAACTCTGGGTTATTCGGCTAGCTTCCAGAGTTTTCCACCATTCTTGAAAAGAACAGCAGAGATCCTGACAGATAACATTTCTCCATTGTAGTATAGCAATAACTGTGTGAGTGCGTGTGTGTGTGCAAATGTTGCCATGTTCACAGGATAAGTCCCATGATTCTTCACCTACTAGGAGCAAACAGCTATCTGGCAGATTACTTCCGCAGAACGTATTCAGCCAGGCATGAGTGGTGACTAATAGATTCCATTCCCAAGCCTTTATTCCACAGATGGGGCTCCCTGTGATAGATCTATTTTTGCCACCAGCAAGAACAAAAAAATGTATCTTCTGCTTCAGAGAATATACCATGCCAGAGTCCCTCCACGATGCTTCTCATCCCTTTTTCTGTTTTAATTCCAGTCACCCTAATACACAAGCTCATAAGACCTCTCTTTTTCCAATCTGCAAGATTTACTGTTGAGGCCAAATTCTCCAACCATGTCCCCATCCCTGTACCTGTTTGGAAGTTGACTGAATGAGACCACAGAGAGGCTGTCTTGGACTTGTAGAACAATCCTTGACAGAGAGAAGGAAACCCTTTACAAGATCAGTCTACTGATGAAAGTGGAAAAGATCTTGTATCTGGCTTCACAACAAGGTCTGGACCCATTGCAAACTTCTGTTCCCAAGATTCTGGATTGCATCTTCCAGCGCAGGCTACAGGGCCTCGCCATCAGCTCCATTAGGGTCCATTTAGCTGCCATTTCAGCCTGTCGCCTTCACATTTAAAATTGTGTTCTTTCATCCCACTGTTTAAAAATTTCGAAAAGAAATGGTTCGCACCTATCATTCCATTCAATAGCCTTTCCCATCCGTGTAACTTTAGATTGTTCTTATGGAACATCCTCACCGCATTTAACTCTTATCCAAATCCTTTCTTTCCATTGGGGAGAGCTGTGGAATGCTAAACCATTTCTTCCCAGAGATTATCCGAGTGGATCAATCTGTTACTAACTAGCAGATATACACCTTCCTTCAACAGTCAACAACAGCCCTGGAAACCTCTTCAGCATACCTAAGAAATATTCCTGTATCAGACGTCTGCAGGGTAGCTACTTACAGCTCAGTAACATTCCTTTACTAAATGTTATGCCCTGGATTTGGAGACTAGATCACATTCCAAATTAGTAGACTAATTCTGCAATCCTTATTTAGCTAGCTGTAGATAAGACTCCTTAGACCCTCCTCCTATTAATCTGGGAACTAATAGCTAGTTATAAGGAGGGGATCTACATGGACAAAGACTGTCTTAATTTACAGTAACTGGTTCTTTGAAATACTTTGTCGGAGTGGCATCCACAACCTGCACTCCATTTCTGTTCTTTCCCAGTCCATCTTTACTGGGGTTCTGAATTAGCAAGGGAACTGAAATGGTCAGGGCTGCTTTGCCCAAGGTGAATGGAGCATTAGGGTATGCAGGGTACAGGCACAGCCCCAGCGAAACATGCAGAATAAGTGGGATCCACAGAAACAAAATATTTTGAACCACACTTGTTGTAATTTAAATAACTATTTTGTATGTCACTCTCCACTCCTACACTTTACAGGAACCTATTTTGATC